CATTCCAAGTCCCTATATGAATTGATGACTGAGCCAAGGTATATAACACATTTAATAATTTTAAGTTCTCCATTGTTAACAGTAAAGTTCTGTAATTCTTCCATAGTCATGATTTTTATCTTTTTAATATTCAGCTGTAGTTCTGTTTTTGTACTTTCTTCCACTGCCATCATTGTTTCAATTCATTGCTGCTTCCTGCCAGTAATATATCATCTGCATATCTTAAATTATTGATGTGTCATCTGCCAATTTTTACTCCTCCTTCCTCTGATTTGTTCTATATACATGGTGAAAAAATAAACACATGATTATCTTTGTGCTATGGAGAGCAACAGGGATGTTCTTCCAGTGAAATAGGTATTGAATGAGCTAAAATGTTTTTAATCTAAGCCAGAGAAGAAAGAGACCCTTCCTTCCTAGCCTCTGTTGTACTCACCATCCACCCACAAAGTGGCTTCTATAAGCTGTTTGCATGGCTTGTTGCTCCTGTGGCAGCAGGACTGGATGGAGGCGTTTCTCTCCCTTTCCCTCTGGGGTGTGCCAGTTACATTTCTGGATCCTACAGGTCTGCAGCCCCTCCTGGCAAACCCACTAACCAGCCGGCATCGGCACCCGCTCCAGGCTTTGGAGGGCCCCGAGCGAGGCATCCTCCCAGGCCCTCCCGCAGAACCCTCCCCTTCTCACGCCCTCAGCACCGGCTGCCGTTGCCTCGTGCCTCTCTCATCACCGCTGCCGGCTGGCTTGTGGAGCCTCCAGCGCCTCTTCCTCAGCGCCACTGCCGTCCGGCAGGAGAGAACTGGCGAGTTGCAGTGGTGAGGCAGAGGGGCCACTTTGTTAGGGGCCCTTCATGCCAGGCCTGAGCACTGCCCTTCCAAAGCCATTGTGTGACCATCCTTTCTTTCCTTCCTTAACCAGCTTTCTGTGGTAAGGAAGAAACAGTGCCAGAATCCATAAGAAGTGAGAGTTCCTAATGGAAGACAATCCCCTGCACTCCCCAGTAAAATTTTGCGAATGAGGCAAAGCAATTGTACTTATACAATCACCTGGAAGCACCCTTTAAAAACATGTAACTATAGATAAGTCTTTCTTCTTTTTTGACTCTGTCTTCTCTAACAGCCTGATTGTGGCTTCCTGCCAAACCCATCCCAATTAATTTAGCATCTGTTTTCAGACTTGATATTGTCTGCCTGTATCTCGTCTTCAGAGACTAGACATGTCTCACATATTTTCCAATAGGTCATAGTTTTCCACTTGGTTTTTGCTTAACAGCTGGCATCTCGTCTCCTTCATGCAACAGAGAAGCTATTCATTGTGGTTGGGTCCTGCTGGGCCTCACCAGGGCACAATTTCTATTCTTTCGCTGTAACCTGAGATTAGGACAGTGCACCCAGGTACATAATGTGGAGTGTGACACTCCACAACTTCTTCATCTCAGCATGTTTTAGGTGAATTCTATTAAACGTCAAAGCTTGATCCAGCTGCAACAAGGGATAAAATTAGAGCGTAGTAACTGCTATTTTTATGCTGCTATAGGTTTCTCTAGGCTTTCCGTGGCTTGTGAGGTCAATTCCCTTTTGCCTGTAAGTCTCCCAGTTGCCTAAATTATCCAAACGGATAAGCTTTGGGATACTGCCATGGTCCACCTCTCTAAATAAAGTGCGGAAACTTCTGCTCATATGCCTAACTCAGGATTGTTAAATATGTGGCCTTCAAGCCTGGATTTAGCATGTGGTTGAGACAGAGCAGGGTGGGTACAGCCCTTCAGAGGAGAAATCCTCCCATTCTGAAGTGCTGACCATATGGAAAATCCTCACTAGGTTACTCTACAATGTTTCTCCCAACCAATCTTACACTGAAATGTGGGCAGAGAAATCTGAGCCATCTCACACTTTAAAGGATTTAGGCTGGATGATTCTTGCAACTGCTACATCACCAATATTATGAGTCTTTAAGCAAGCATAAATATTTTGCCATATGTATTTCAGGATAGCCGTATGTACTGCAGGATTTACTAGGCATTTTTCTCATGCCTAGAAAATGTACAGCATTGCTACCTCTTCAGGGGTTGCCTTCAGGATCTGTTGTCCACCAGAAGATGGGTTCCACTCATGGTAGGTTCACCTGGCTTGCTATCCTAACCTTCTGTGTAGAATTTGCAGGGGCCTAGAGGGGCCAGTGTGAGGGGAAAAAAGGGGGGGGGGGCAGAGAAATCTACTTCCACTAGTGCCAATGATTCAGCAAAAATCTGGCTTCAACCCCAAAGCTTTAGTTTCTCTCCTACATGCCCTTTTCTATTCATTGTTCATTTGCTTCCCACATTTCAAAACCTCCATCTGTGGGCAGAGAGGGATTTTGAAGCAGATCCATTGAAAGCAATGAAAATTAGGTGTTCTGCTTTATGACTAACTCTGGATCCAGACCATGGTATCTACATATGTATTTAGATTAGTAGACTCTCTAACTCTACTACTCTGGAAACTAAACCAGAACAAAACTCCATATTTTGTTTTTAAGCTTCACTGAGCACTTATCTTTTCAAGTAAAGGAAACTGGAAATGCAACATCAAAGCAATGGAGAGGAGGACCACACACACATCTATATATCACAAAGTTTTTTATGCCCAGCTCTTTACCAAAAATTAAATAAAATAAATTTGTAATTTAATATTCAGTAGGAGTGCACTCCTTTAATATAATTCTGATTGGCTGACCTTATCAGACAAAACATCTTCTTTGCTGGACAAATTGGCATAGGTCTTCACTCTTATCTGGCTCAGTGATCACAAATGCAATCAAAACATACCAGAAGACTTCTTGCTCCTGTCTCTTAAAACTTGGAGTGTTGCCAGACATCAATATAGAAATTAGAAGGGGTGGCTACAACTGGGCCAAACTGTGCATTTCTCTGAGGATATAGCTCAGCACATGAATACATTAATCATGGAAGTGAAACAGACAGATATGTGGGGAGACCTCTTTGCATTTCCCACTATTCTCTGTTTAGAGCTGGTTTTCCTGGCCAAAGTGAAATCCATTCTCTAATGGATTTAGCAGACATCCCCTATTAACTGCTGGTGAACTGACAAAGCCTTTACATTTAGCATTTGTCTTCTTCCACTTTGTCTTCTTGCCAGCATCACATACTGAAAGTCAAATAATCTTTGCCCTTAATCAAATATTACCCAGGAATGAGCAATTGCTTTGCAGCATATGGCTCTTGAGCAAAAACCTGCCCATGTCTAGGGGCTTCAAGAGCAGTTTGAAACCCCCATTGCAAGCATATCTTTTAAGATACCTCCCAAAAGCCTCTGTAGCACTCTAACTTGCAAACCTAGAAGCACAGCACATTACACATCCTGTTGGGGTATCTATAAACTTGGACTAGATCATGCAACTATTTAGCCAGACCCCATACCTACGAGATTGAGGGTTCAGTTCCTCACTTCTTCCATGAAAGGCCTTCCTTTAACCAGGACTGGGTAGCAATCTACAGATTTATTTATTCACATTGAGAGCCATGCATTAGCATCAAGCTCTCTGGGTGGCCAAAGACTAGGTTCCTATCTGTCCTACCTTAGATATGACATTCCCTCTGTCATATATAACTGAAATATTTACAGTGTGAGAAAGTACAGGACCTGAATTATTGTAGGCTACTCAGATAGGTGCAAGTGACAGTAGTGCATAAAAACAAAACAAACTGACTAAAACCATTTCCCAGGAGGGTATTAATCACTGTACCTACTTGTTTTATTGCAAAACTGAGATCCAAGGGCTGCACAGCTTCTCCTTTCTTGCTTTTCCACTATATAGCCTCTAAGTGGTGCATTGCTATAGGAAAATAGCACAATTACACAAAAAGAACAGAAAAATAGTTCTTTTCTTTCCCTTTCAGAAATAGGGCTTTTCTACAGGAGGCATTTGCCATAAGTTTGTCATTCCCTACTTACTGCTGTTTATAGGTTCTTTAGTCCATGTGATGCCTCTCCAGATTCTTTTCTGTGTCTAACCAGCACTTCTGGTGAGGCAAGGAAGGTTAGAGTAGGGAGAATGCAGCACTGAATTGTGAAAGAAAAAGAAACCATGATTTTATCTTGTGTATTTGTGTTATTCTGCTATCCCATGGAGCACATAGAAGAAAAGAAGGAACAGGAAACAGTCCTCGGATGTCTATTCTGCCATTAGAACAAACTCAAAAAGGGTGACTGCGGTCTTACGTAAGGGTCTATCGGCACCAACTTGAAATGGACCAACCACTGGGGCTGGGAAGAGCCATCCTAAAAGTGCAGGGCTTGTTTCCAGGCTTACAGATTGACCCCAAAAACCTTCATTACAAGTGGTCTGTACTTCTGAATGGCCATAGGAGTATTTTGGAATGGTAGCAGTAGTCTCACAAGAAGTAGCAGCAGGCGGGTGTTCCTCGTGTGTGTGCTGGAGAGATACCTACAAAAGTTACAGAGGAAAATGGAATGAAACCACAAAAAAGTAAAATAGAAACCAAGAGGGTCAGATAGCATTCCACTGGAGGCTCAGAGGCCCTGAGCCAGGGCAGCCTGTCCGTAGCGGTCACTGCTGAGTGTGGAATGGGCAGAAAGCTAGAAGAAATTCCAGCCTGGCTGGTCTTTCTCCCCACACCCTCCTTTGTTCAACACTGACATGATACGGAGACCTTATTTCTTGTTTCTGCACACAGTGAATGTGGAGAATTTGGCAATCACCGATATGGCGTATTATAGCCACTGAGCCCAATCTAGAGAAACGAAATTCAGTGAGCAGATAAATATTGCCCCATTCATATCCAGGGACCCACATGTGCTTCACAGAATAATTTACAGTGCAATCCAGTGCATGTCAACTTGGAATTAAATCCCATTGATTTCAGTGAGGTTCAGTCCCAGGTAAGATTGAAGTCTTAATGCCTTGTTTTCCACAGTACTATGTACATGCAGAATTAAACTAATCTACACAGCTATGTGTATGATTAAAAGGTGCATATGTGCTGGTTTTAATAGGATTTTTATTATAATTATGTTGCATCCTCCTTACTCAGCATCTATGGAAGTAACAGAATATAATAAGAATTGTTATACATGTATTTATGTATTTCAAACAGACATTTCAGACCATTAAGGGCAGATAGGAAAGACCGAATTATCTTCATTTTTCTGAATTCATCCTCACTCTATGAGGAATTTACATGAAATTTAAGGTAACTCCAATTTGTGTTGCATTTGACATACTTCCAACATGAAATTAGCTCTTTATTGTCAGCCACAAAGGAAATAAGGAAATAACTCAAATATTCTCAATGATAATCATCTGACCAAACTTTTTGGAAGTGCCCCCCGCCGCCCCGCCACTGCCTCAGCATATATATAAATAAAATCTATACAGCATATAGTCTAGGTAATATTCTATGGGATGACACATATAGGCTATACAAGTAGGAGTATATACACAGTAATACTGATGTCATACAAAGCTGAGACTGGAAAACAATTGCTAAACAGGAAACCAGTTATGATATGATACATAAGAAAGCAGATGATGTAACAATTTCTGCCATGTAAGTTAAATGAAAGTTGGTAGTAGCAGTTTTCCAGTGGTAGGATTGGATCCAGATTTACTCTTACTCGGATTGGACCCATTCAGTTCAATGGGACTTCAGTTGGTTATGACTAACTGAAATCCCACTGATTTTAATCAGTCTACTCTGAGAATCAGTACACAACCTCAGTTTCAGTTTCAAAATGCAGCCTTCCATTCTGATGCATAATCAAAAATGCAAGTTCCAGGCATATTTACACAAGTTTTGTTACTGTTAGCTTTAAAAACTGGACAGGAACATGATGCACAAGACAGCAGGAACATATTCCGCATGGGGCAATTTTCTGCAAATGCTTATCTCATAGTAAAGAATTGTTGAATTAGGCTGTGCACTTATCCATGATTTCCTGGATAGGACTGTGATCCACTGATCCTAATGGGACTTATATCTGAGTACACTCGGATAGGAATGGGCCCTTAATCTTCCTTAATCTTTAATCTTCGAATCTAGAGGGACTCCCTTCCAGGGGCGCTGGAAGTTTGTTGACCTATTCTGTGGGTAACATGTGACACCCACTGGAATGGTTCCATTTCAGTCACTCTGGATATAAACCAGGTTATTTACATCTTATATTTTATATAATTTCTCTTTCTAAGTAAAACTGATCATTTCCTCATCTGGTCAACATCGTTTTAACTATCAGCACAATCTTAAGCATCTGTATTCAGATGTGAATCCAGTATTGGACTGCAGTCTAAATTGCTCCAAGTCAATGCAAAAACTGGAGGTTTCTTGTACATTTGGAAGTGTATTTTATCCAACTAACAGTACAATCCAATGAATGCCTACTCAGAACTAAATCCCATTGAATTCAGTTAGACTTATTCCTTGGAAAATGGGTATAGGATAGAAACCTAAAACCACATACAAAGTACTACAAAAGTAGTAAAAACAAAAACAAGAAACCCCTAAATAGTCTTTATAAACACAGCAATCAGAATATGCTTGGTGTTTATACTGGAATAGTCTTTGTTAAAAAGAAGAACCTGAAGAGCTTATTTGTAGGACTAACAGTTCTAAGTTGAGGTATTATTGTATTCTTATGAAGTAACAGCATAGACGTAAAATACAGTGTTCCAGTGATTTGGTTTTGTTCTTGTTGCACAAGGGAATTCCTGTAAGCAGCCATGGAAAAGTTAAGTCTTAACTATAAATGTTATCTGACATTTTTCTACTAAGACAGAATGCGGTGGTCCTATTTTCTTCCAGTGTGAGTCAATTGAAAAGACATCTCTGATCACCATAGCAACATGACACAAGTCGTTTCGTTACACAGTTGTTTGCTTGTCTATTGCCTGGCCTTGATTTGATGACAACATAGCACCCGCTGAATGGATGTCCTATGTGAGATATACTCACTCACCACCGCTCACCCTTCATGTAAAATATCGACATTCTGTAGAGTCAATATAGCAATAAGAAGTGCATCGTAGTTTTCCATAAGACCTAAGGCAGAAGATAACACAAACAAGTTATTACCTGTGAACCTTGTTTCTTTTTGGCTTTAAATAATTGTTATTAGGGATTGGCATTTCCTTTGCAAATTTCTCAAATAAACCACCGAGGAAAGGTGGAGTCCAATTTCCCAGATAATTCAAATCCTTAATTTCTATCAGGGAATGGCCAGACAAGTCCTGAATGTAGTTTTCTGTAGGAAGTAAAATAAGATATGAGGGTCCAGAAAATATGTCTGGTGGACAGTACGGTACTATTTAGCACAGTCCAAAATCAAGTTTTGTTCTAACATACACCTTACTATGCATTCACTTGATATTAGTTATTACATATTTTCCTGAAAGGAACCTGAGGTTCTTTACAGAAGCTTACTTCTCCACTCATGTTATCCACAACAACCCTGTGAAGTAGGTTAAGCTGAGAGTCATTGTCTAGCCCAAAGTCACCTAGTGAGATTCAGGCTGAGAGGGAATTAGAACCCAAATCTCCCAAGTCTTATTTCAACACTTTTAACCAGCACACCACATGGATTCTCAAGTCCAATCCAAATTGCAATCACTGAAAACCATTCCATTGTAATCAGTGAATGTTTCATTTCATTTGAACTTCTTAAAGAGGCTAAGGCTGCCACGTAAAAAGAACAGGACTTTGTGGGCCAAGATGGGAGAAGGACATTTGATGCCAGTGAGCAACACTGAATCATCCAGCCTAACAATGGAGGTTGTATGGAACAATGCAGTGGTTTGGCAAGGATGGGGCCTCACTGTTGCAGATTCTTCCTAGCACTGGGTTTTATAGCTAACAGAACACTAGCTGGGCTGGGATATGTGACAAAATTAAAAGAATACACTTTTAACTTAACTTTTAACTTTATTTAATACTTTTATATTATGTTATGGATGTTTTAACCTTAATTCAATTTTGGTTAATTTGTTGGTTGTTTTTACTGGTGTGTGTGAGTATATTTTATTTGAGGTGGTCTAGTATTTTATTGTTTTGTCTTTTTATCTGATTAATAATTGTTTATGTATGTTTTTATGCTTTAATATTATAAGCCACCCAGAGAACCTTCAGGTTATGGGGCAGCATAGAAATTGAATTTAATAAATAAAATTTTTTCCCTTCAGATATTCTTCTGATAGAATTTTGGTAAGAGAATACAATAGTCATAGCAAACACTGGTAGAATTTTGTCAACAGGCTGGTAGAATTTTGAAAACAGGCTGGTAGAATTTTGTCAAGAGAATACAATGGTCATAGCAAACACTCAACTTAAGAAAATTAAGTTCATGGCATCCGGTCCTCTCACTTCCTGGCAAATAGATGGGGAAGAAATGGAGGTAGTGACAGATTTTATTTTCCTGGGGTCTAAGATCACCACAGATGGGGACTGCAGCCAAGAAATTAAAAGATGCTTGCTCCTTGGGAGGAAAGCTATGGCAAATCTAGACAGCATACTACAAAGTAGAGACATCACCCTGCCAACAAAAGTGTGTATAGACAAGGCTATGGTTTTCCCAGTTGCAATGTATGGCAGTTAAAGTTGGACCATAAGGAAGGCTGAGCGCTGAAGAATTGAGGCCTTTGAATTGTGGTGCTGGAGAAGACTCCTGCGAGTCCCTTGGACTGCAAGGCGATCAAGCCAGTCAATCCTAGGGGAGATCAACCCTGACTGCTCTTTAGAAGGCCATGTATTGAAGATGAAACTCAAATACTTTGACCACCTACTGAGAAGGAAGGACTCACAGGAGAAGAGCTTAATTCTGGGAACAATCAACAGGAAAAGAAGAAGGGGATGGCAGAGAATGAGGTAGCTAGATGTAGTCACTGAAGCAGTTGGTGTGAGCTTAAGTGGACTTCGGAGGATGGTGAAGGACGGGAAGGCCTGGAGGAAGGTTGCCCATGGAGTCGTGACGGGTTGGACTCGACTTCGCGACTAACAACAACATCCTTCTGATATTTGAATAAACATCTGCAGCCTAAAATCCACATAACTGGATGTGCATTAAATATATGTCCAGTTCATGTATCTTTAGGAAAACTTGGAAATCAGCGAGCTGAAGGCTTTTTAGACCAGTGTTCTGGTCCAACCTGAGATGCATTTATGTATTTATATAGAAGCAAATGTTTTAGACACCAGATGGGAACTAAAATCCAGAGCAGGGCCCCGCCTTTGCTATGCCTTCCACTGAAGCTGGGAATAAAGCTCCCATTCACTTCAACAGGGACTTTTACCCCCGTGTAAAGAGCAGATACAGTCTCTTCCAACCCACCACTCCTGAAGCCAGGGGGTCTCATAGCTGTCATTCTATCTGGGAATCTAATAACCCTGAAGCAGAGACCTCAATTTTCAAAGCCTTAACCTGTCAGCCTCGTGTGTTTACATATTCATTTTCCTTTAAAACAAGTTTGCTTATAGAGCAGCACTAAAATGCTTGGTGCTGTAGGGAGTTCTAATTACATCCTCAGAGTTAACACAGAAGGAGGTTTGCAGAAAGGATTCTTTTGTTTTCTTATTCCTGCCAATTAACACATTATTCTATCATAAGCCATGAGGACTGTGCAGCTAATTTCATTTGCAAATTAAACGTTTCCTGTAAGATCGTAAGGATACATGACAGCATGACAAAACTACAGCTACTGCAGGTAAAATGCTGCTAACCAAAGGAAGGTATTAATACCAAGGCCTACATCTCAAATTGCAAGACAGCAAATGTCTCAACTAAGCACCCCGCTGGACTCAAGAAAAGCACATCAGCTCTGTGCCAAATCAACATTTTTGCTGATAGCTTCATTGTGCAACTTCCAGGGAAGCACAACACAGCCTTGTTTATGTGCTTCAATCTCTTTGTAAGATGGGAAGTTCATGTGACAACATCATGGATGCCAAAGGGCATATCCATTGCAAGGCAGGTTCTCCCCAGGAGTGAACCAGGAAAAACATCTGTCACCAGACCCTCAGATCTCTTGGGGCCTTCCTACCCACTGGCTCCATGGGGGGGTCAACCTTCCCAGGACCTTGCTAGCCATCAGATCCACCTGCCCAACCTTTCTCTCCACCACAGTTGTTTAGGAAACCAAAGAATGGTGATGATCTCTTTGTCACTGAAGTGACAAGTGGTCGGGGATAGGAGAAGACATATTTGCAGGGAGATAATTCGTGCAACATCTCTGAGACCCAGTTCCTCCCCACCACAGTCAGTCAGGTGGCACAGCGAATTCAGTCTCCTTCTGTTTTCTAAATAACTATAGACTGGCGTGAAGAATTTTATATGGCAATTACACAGAAATTAAAGTATTGGAACTGCAGGAAGCACTTTCCAAGCCAGGTTCCCCCCCCCCCCCCCCGACACACACACACACCTCAATAAAAGGAACTAAAAAGAGTAGTTTGCCTTCTTTCCAACCTTGCACAATTTAATATGATTTCTACTCTTGTTTCAGTCAATAATGTTCTGCCACAATTCAACAAAAGCAAAGATGATGAAATTTGCCATACCCTGGGAGATATGTTCTACATGTTAAATATCCAAAATCATTGCCATCACAGTCTTCTACACCTTCGTGTCGGTAGCCATCCCCACAGTAAGCATGGCGGCACCCTAATAAATATGAAATGAAATATTTAGTAAATATAAAAATCTTATACAGAAGTACTACTCCCTGCACTTTAATGAAATGATTCCCAAGGCAGCTTATGGTTGATTGCAATATTAGAAAAAGCCCCTAAACTCACACAGACAACACTGCAGCACAACGTTAAAGGACAGTACAGATTTTCTCTCACTTCATTCAACTCCAAGCTGCCTCTATGGGCTTCTCTACATGAGTCGTATAGCACTTTACTGAGGCTTCTGCTTCAGTTTCCTTTATGGAAGGAACAGACCATCCTTCATTTGAGGTTCCCTGCCCCTCCCCCAGGGATCTCCTTCTCCCCATTTGCATATGTTCCGTTACACAGCTCACATTTCGGCACAAAGACATGGAACAGAATTATGAAAATATACCAGGCTTCTGTAATGAATAAAGATGCTCCCTAGGAAAGTGCTGGATTTTCCCACTCTAAAATCCATGAAAAAGACTGGAAAACACAGGAAACAACATCCTGAAAAGCCCCACAAGCTTCTGTGACTGAGGGATCACAAGTACACAGTAAATACCTCGTGTAGAGAAGCCCTGTGTGGTAAATCTGGAGAGACTCTCCTTGCCACTGGGAACATAGGTTTTTAGTCCAGGGATGACGCATATCTAGGTCCTTTAGCCCCAGTGGAAGTGATTGGGTGGAAGCAACCCAGATGTTGCCTAGCTCCATTCCTAATTATCCTAGATTTAAAAAAAACCTTGGGTTGTTGTGATGTCCAAACTGGTCATGTAGAATTGTGCTCCCAGTTGTCCTCCCAGTGCAGCAGAGCATATAAATGAGGTGTATAGGATATGTATTGAAATGAAGGTATGAACATGAGCACAGAATCCATCAGACATACTTATACAGTTATCAGTTACGATGGTATTGCCATCATCGCATTCTTCCCCATCTTGTAGGACTCCATCTCCACATGTGCTGCCATCTTCTATTTGGTAGTCCCCAGGATAGAAAGGTGCAAACTGCTTGAATAAATGAAAAATCATGACTGGAACTAAACTGTTGCCATCCATAATGCCTGGTGCTGGAGCATGGAAAAGCTATAAAACATATGTTCCTGTTCTCACTTGTTGAAAATTTCCTGTATCTTGTAGTTTTTCATTTTTAGGATCTAATTCAGCCAGCTGAAGAATATCCTGGGAATTCTGAATCAGGATCGAAGTTTCTTCGGGATTTGATGGAGCCTCCCAATTTGATATGCCTACATGTCTGGAGCTTACAACTCCTGTCATCCCCAGACACCACGGCCAAGGCCTGTGGCTGATACGAGTTGCAGTCCAATGCATCTAAACGGCACTTAGTTGGGGAAGGCTCATTTACAGAATATTTCCATCAGAATCCTTTCAACTGTTACTTACACCTAAACCGGAATGCAAATCATGTTGCTCTATGATTGTGGGCATTTACTTTCCCTTGAGGACTTCAGGGAATTTACAGTGCAGAGGTGTATTTTCAAAGCCTTTACTTTTTTCCCATATCCCCAGGTTCAGGACCATGAAATTTCAAGGGAAAGTGTGGTTAAATAATCAGAGCATTGTGTCCACATAGAAGCCAAGATTTCATGTTCCGTTGCATGCTGGGAATGCGGTGCATGAGGAAACACTGTCCCATACCCTGTATTCCTTCGGCTATGTTTGACTATAGTCCCAAGCATTTGGGACTGCCCACTAATGATTTTGGTAGCTCATGCTACAAATAAGTCTTGCGTTGCATATTTGCACAACAGTGCAACTTACACTGCAGCATCAGAGTACAGTACAGCCACTGTAATTATTGGGACTTAAGTTCTTGTTAAATTCATTTCTATGCCACCTGTAGCCAAAGCTCTCAGGAAGTTCACAACAGGATATTAAAAGCAGTAAAATACAGTACATAAAACAGCATTTAAGACATTTAAAACAAAAAGTTAGTCATGACTAAATTAAGTCCCATAAATCTACATTGGTCTCTGGAACCAATGATTTCTCAGAAGGAAGTCCTACTGTGTCCAATGAGACATCCCTGCACAGGGAAGGTACCTCTTTTTGTTTCAGAGCTAGATAACCTCTCCAGCTGCACGAAGCTCAGGGGGCTGGATGATGTCAAGAGGGCAGGGCCCCTCCCCAAATGCTATACCACCCCTCTGCTGTGCTTGGCATGGCACTCTATGTCTCTTTCCTCCCAGAAAGAGGTGCTTGCACAAGCCAGATCATCTGAACACCAGAGGAATGCTCCTTCCAGCCCCTCTCATGTCCTGCTGGACTAGGTGAGTCGCTCTCAGCCTGATTCATGTACATGAAATTGTTTAAACACAGCCAGTTCAGTGACGGTTTTTACCTGGATTGGAAGCCATCCAAAAGTATCTTTGAAGTACAATGATCTTTGATCTCTTCGAAAGGCTAGGGCATATTCTGTGTTTAGTCTGTCCAATTCTTCCCGGTTATTCACTACAAAAATCTGGGGAAGAGAAATAAAATGTAGGTGAAAAGCAAATAGTTTGTTAATACAGAATAATAGGCTGCAACAGAGTTTTAAGGGTTCATTCCAAATTTGAAGGGTTTGGGACCAGTACCTAAGGCTGTTCCAATAACCCCCAAGCACTTATTATGAATTTAAATAAATTGTGTAGCCTAATCCATAACCAGTATTGTTATGTGCCTGTTTTCATCCAAATGGAAGTCATGAGAGCAGCTTTACAGCAAACAGAATAGCCTGGAAAAAGAAACAGATTTGGGGAGAGTTGTGTTCAAGATCTGGAGGATGGAAGACACAACTTCCAGAGAGAAAAACAGATGGGTGATTTTAAAAGTATGATACTTTAAACACTTCAACCTTAATCTACCTAGAAAAGCTAGAGGGAGGAGGGATTTATAATATCCCTGTCACCATTCAGTTGGCAGCCCTTATGAAACCACATAACTATGATTCACATAACTATAATTTACTACTACAAGAGCTGCAGTAGAGCGAGGCAAAATGCAATTTCTGCAGCAAATCAGTTTTTTGGGATGATACAATAGTAGAACTGACCAGATTGTTATTTGCAAATGGTCAATCATTGCTTTCTGTATACCTACCCAAACATGTTAGCATGGTGCACCTTAAAGCTGAAAGTGAAATTCTGCTCCCCCAATAGCATCTTGTTGAAGGAAGAGGCAGCTACACCCAGCCGACTAATTAGTGCCTCTTGGAGATCTCAGCAGTACTGCCTAGAGTTGCCAATATTACTGAGCAAAAGTAACATTGTTAAAGCATGTAGGTTATTTTGGAACACGGGTCTTGCTTTTATAAACAAATTAGTTGTTCTCCCAAACATGCCCAGATTGTGATGATCCAAGAAGCACGTTAATAGATGATCCATTTACAAAATATGTGCCAATTAATTCTCATCAAGTTCACTTACTGCAGGAACTATTGAATAGGTCTGTCCAAATGGTGGTTCTTCATATCGTGGGATATTCACATTTTGCTGTGGGTTGCAGAGACAATTCCCTGGTGGCCCAGGAAGCCCTCTTTCCCCTTTTGGCCCCATTGTCAGTTGCCCTAGAAAATATCAGATTGCCAAACTGAAATAGATAAAAACATATTTGCTGAAATAGATAAGAACATGCTGAAAGGAGAAAATGGTACTCCTATCTGCAAGCTAAACATATTTAAAACAAACATCTCGTATTTTAAATATGGGTGCTGTCATTTGGTACTTTAAAATGTGGGTGCTTTGACTTCAATAGAAATCACATCAGAGGCAACACTTATGGAGTGTCCCTGATGTTCCAGTTTCAGGGCTAGTTGCACTGCTTTTAACCATTGTTTTCTTTTTCTAGGGATATGTTCATTTAGCTTAATTTGCCTCTGACAGAAAAAGCAGGCTGTAGCTGTGAGGAACCAAACAAACACGTTAATGAATGAATCTGGGTATGAACAGGGTACTTGCTGACTGATGGAGATACCTGCAAGAAAGGGCTGTACACAATAATGACCACTTCCACTGTAGCCTTTCCCACACACACATACCACAGGAGCTATCAGCCTTGTCAATATCCTAGATTCAGATTGAGTGGGGTTAACATGATGCCCGGTTCCTCCACAGCTGAATATCCTCCGGCAAGTGAAAATTAAGCCCTTACCACTTTGTCACTGAGACACTACTTCTTACTCCATTGCAAGAGGGCAAAAGAGCACCGGTTATGATGGAGGGAAAGCGCCACACCAACCTAAAACTGCACCTTAAAAAGGTCTGATCCTCTCAGCTAGCATTCTCGTGGACACCTCATAGGTATATGTCTCTTTTCTGCTTAGTAAAGCAATATTGTTTAAATGAAGCAAGAAAACCAGCTATCAAGAAAAAAGTGGAGTATAACTCAAACAAATAAATAAATATCAAGAAAGGCCTGCCTTACCTGATACGAAGTGTCCTGGTGGACCAGGCTGGCCAGGAGGACCAGGCCTGCCAGTTGGACCTGCAGTTCCAGGAGGTCCAGTGTCTCCCTTTTGCCCCTATTATATATAACAAAGGACCAGATATTAAAACATAGCTTGCAGTACTTTATAATATAAAGCCGCTTCATGGGTAGAAACAAGTATGAGCTGGAAAAAACAATAATTCCATCTCTGTATATGTTTGTATTTAGATCTGATTTCCCCAAGTTGGTGGCTACCAGATGTGTTGGACTATATGCTGCAGCCATGTTAGGAGTTGTAGTTCAACATACCTGGAAGACAGCAAGTTGGAGGAGGCTGGATTATATATTTCAAACATACAAGTAGGATTTTTTTCCGAAATGAAGCAAGCCAAAATCAGCAGAACCCTATGTATCCTGTGGTCCATCCATGTACATTTCTGATTAATTATTTCTGTCTATTAATTCTCCTATTTGGCACTTTTTTACAGAGTGCCTTATGACTAAGGCAGCACTCCATGCTCATATGTGAGTATTTGGGAGGAGATGGGTGGACGGACAATGATGGAATCATCATCTTGCCTCACCCACACCGCTACGCTTCATACTTGCACAAGCCACTGCAAGTAGAAGGGCTGAGACCTGTGTAGTATCTGTGGATAGCCCAAGGAATTCTGTGGGCAAACTCAGCACTTTTTAAAAAATGATTTGAAGAGAAGCCACTGTGTTGCTGGAAAACTGACTGATCTGTAACACGCAGAAATGCTGAGGGAACACAGCGCTCAGAAGACTGCTTAATGCAGTTAGCCCAAGCCGATAACTATGATTTATAGCACAAAACACTGCTCGTTTCTTTTCACATAACTCCTAGGGTAGCCAAGCACTGCCTGGGTACAGCCACTGATTTTGCAGCCTGCCTTTTGATCCCTTACAGCACAAACATCCAGATGTCTATCCAGACTTCCTCAACCTGGCACCCACCAGATGTGTTGGTCCAACTCCCATCATCCCCGGTCAGCTCAAGAATACTGCTCTGTTGACCAGAAACTGGATTGCAGATTGACCTAAAGCCAGTGGGGGCTAGTGGGTCCAGTGGGGAGGCATATCCGCCCTGGAGTTTTGTCCGAATTGTCAATGAACAATTTTCAATGCTGAAGGGCTCCATCCCTATTCCCCCCAAAAGTTCAGCATAATGGATAACTCCTTAAAAGTTTAGACTGCAAGCCAAAGTGGATACACTGCGCCACTGACACATACATTTTCTCCTTTCTCCATTTTTTTCATACTCATTTTGCAAAGAGAGGGAAAGAGATAGTGATGCAAAATGACGGAGAAAGAAATTATGAAGACAGTAGGGGTCTGCTCCTGATATCTAGCCTTTAAAGATGTCCTAAAATAGGGTGGTGGTAGGGAAGCCCACTTCTGTCAATCTAATTGCACATGCCTAAATCTGGATCCAGCCCATTCTTCATTATGAGATTGTTGCTGTTTTAGCACCAGGCAAAGCCATCCTTATATGCTCATCATTCATGTACGTTAGTTATGTCCCAACAGTTGTGGGTTGCTTTTCTGGAATTCAGTCAAGGCTTGGGCATAACAGAGACAGAAGGGAGATATGAAGATTGTGAATAAAAACCTTTTACATTGCATTGCAAGACTCACTTTTCTTGGGTTATTTTTATTTCATAGGTTTAAATGCTGCTCATCATATTTAAAATATCTCTGAGATGTTATTGAGCTAGTTATGATTTATACTGACTGGGGGAGTCACATTATATTACTTATGGATTTCTGTATTTGTTTGTGTAAGCACTTCAAGCTTGCTCTTTACTGTGGAAAGCAATGCACAATTTCACTTTCATTATTTATTTATTACAAATAAATAATAATTAATTTATTACAACTTATATATTTAATTATTATGAATAATTTATATCTTACCTTTCTTCTATACTATTTATTCCATATCATTTTTCTATACCTAGTTCTATACCTAATTATTTGCATAATATCCAGATGCAATCAATATAAATCAGAAGAATACAACTCAGATTTAAAAGAAAGGGAGAATCACAAGCAGAGACAGGGAGGAAAAGCAGAGGGAGAAACAGATGAGTAGAAAAGATGGACAAAGAAAGGTTGTTCTCAGTCTGAAAACGGACACTAAACAACTAGAGGGGATTTTCCGCAAATATTAATCACTCACAAGGCAGCCGTCAGCAGGTGAATTTCTAAGGCTGGTCACATGGTGCTAACTTCAGTGCCACAAAGACTATGGAACCTGCTGTGTTGATGTTATTGTTGTGATTTGATTTGGTGCTTGCAAGATGGAGACTTGTGGAGCTGCATCTAGTCTGGCTTAGTGTTACTGAACAAGCCTGAGAAAACTCTCAGCATGAACCTGAAGGAGCCAATAAGATAAGCAAGAGAGATCTTGGAATGGAAGTGGAAGTAACACCTTCTTAATTTAGCTGCCACTGCAGACATTTTATATAGAATGTTAGCTGATCCTGGAGACAGGAAATAACTGAGTAGGTGAAAAGTGTCTCCTCTTATTTAACAAACGGCTATTTAAATATACATCTCAGATCATCCCTCAGGTTAGAAGCGGTCAGTCTCTCAAAACAAAATTAAGACTTCAAGAAACTGAGTTTTGGATCCAGTCTTAGAGATAGAATTGATTCCTGAAATCAATGAGATTTAAGTTAGTCACAACTTATTTACAGCCGTTTTTGCACAAGTCAGTAAATTGGTTGTTAATCCACTTTTCTGTTCATCCGCTTTTAACTACTTTCAGTTCTGCCACAGAACTCAGATCCAAGTACTACATGAAGAGTGTTTTCTTTCCAAGTAGTAAATGAAGAGCATTTTGTTTCTACACAATCTCTATGAATAGAGGAAAAGCAGAAATATACAAGTGAAAAAAGCAGCACTCTTTCACATTTACAATTAAACACTGCATTTCCCCGCACTAACAAAATTTGTCAAAAGTGGGTTCAGATGCAGATGTCTTCCACATGTAATCCTCCAGTGTTTTCCTACCACTGCTTCCATGTTTTTTTCTTACCACAGGAATCAGTTAAGGGACAAAAGACCGAACTGCAGCAGTGTGCCTTCTGATTCTTAGTACCAGCAGCTCTCCATTTGAAGCATCCTAGGTACAACCTACTTGTCTGCAATTGAATCAGTAAGAATAAAATAGCAATCATATTTGTACTAGCTACACACTTAAATGGTTTCCCAGCCACGTAGAGTCATTCCACGCAGAAAGCTGTTTCCATGTCAGGCCTGGTAGCAAAGGTAGTTTCTGTGGCTGAAAGCATATGATGCAAGATTTGGGGTTAACAAATGTCAAAGAAAGTGACTGCCTTTCAAACACTTACATATATCCTAGAAGGCTTGCAGTTTCCATCAATAAATATTTGTTCGGCTAAGAGGGCAGCCTCTGGCCTCCTGACCTTGTTGCAGGGTTGAGTGGGTGGGTGCAGGATCAGAAAAACACTTTGAGGTCAGAGTGAGGACTTCCACTGTGGAGGGATTGCAGTCTATCCTCGAAGCCGGCACAATTATTTCCATGCCGGCTGGGTTCCAAAGATGGAAGACCATCTTCGGCATGGGAGAGGGAAAATTTGGGATGGGGAGCAAGACACTGCAGGCCTCCAAAGAATCCTGGTGGGGCTGCAGACTCTCCTCCTCATTTAGATGGATAAAACCAACCACCCAAATATTTAACTGAGTGAGGGGAGCAAGGTGGCAATCCTAGCCTCCACACTTCACCTGCCTTCCACTGGATACCCACAATCAAGGTTGTAGTGGAGGGGGCCCTTGGGGGGATCGGAGCACCCCCACTAATTTTGGAGAGGGTCTTCAAGGGGGTTGCTGGATCTCTGAACACAGGCCCACTGTCTCTCCCTCACTGCTTCTCAAGAGACTTGGCTTTGTTGGTTCATGGCTGGCAGCTGCCACTGTTTCAGAGTCTTGAATTTAATGGGTTAAGGACAGGGGTATTTTTTTGACAGTTTCCAACAGTTCTTGGGAATTACTTATCTGGAGGGGCCTACCAGGCATGCACATGACTTTTCTCTGACACTTGGCCTCATGGTCAGCCTCTGCTCCGCAGCAACATGTGTTCAGAATACCTTTGGTGCTCTAAAAACTACCTCCCATCCCTCCTGCATCCACACCACACATTTAGAACATTTTTATTCCTCTTTTAACAGTCACTACTTCTCCAAAGAATCTTGTCAAGGGTCCTGAGTGTCATTAGTAAACACCTATTCCTCACACAAAAAGGGACAGTTTCCAGAGTTCCTGGGAAAGAGGGATTGACTGAAAAACCATTCCAGGAACTGAAGCTCTTCGAGGTGTTTTCTCACATCTCTTAGTCCCAGAATTATTTGGGAGAATAATGGCTAAAGTGGGAGAAGAGTATCATAAGTGGAGTGTATTCACTGGAATCAGTGGGAAAATTAGCCATGACTTCTAATAGCCTTAAGTTCCTCTTACTTCAGTTAGGCTACTTTATGCATGATTCAGCATAGATCCAATGAGAGTACAGTAAAAGATTATTGAATATTTTGAGAAGCTGGAACCCCTAAACCGGGGTCCTCAAACTTTTCCACCAGGCAGCCAGATGAAAGCCGCCAGATGAAAGCTGCTGGGCGCAGGCCAGGAAAGTGGTGCTGGTGGTGCATGTGGGCTGGGGTGGGGGCGGCATGTGCAGGTGCGCGCACTGAGGCGGAGGCAGGAATGCGCAGTGAAGCAAGGTTAGGTGAAGCGGGGGCAGGCATGCACCGCAAGGCAGGCGCACGAGGCAGTGGCTTGCTTGCCTGCTTGGAGATCATGTTCTTCGAGCGAGCAAACCGCTGCCTCCCCTCGCACGGGGCAAGGTGGGTGGCGGCGGGCACATGCATGGGCACGGTCGGTCCAAAAGGGCATGGTGGGACAGATCCGACCCCCGGGCCGTAGTTTGAGGACCCATACCCTAAACTATGGACTCTGGATGCATGGAGGACCCACACATGTGTTCACACAAAGTCAGTGGCTGCAGAGGCCACAGAAAATTTAAAAAGCAAAACAGTGATTGTCAATCACTGGGAGATTGGGAGAATATAGCTATGTATGTTTCTATAAGTGTGGGTAATTAGTACCTGAGTTTTCTTTCTTCCCTTTCCCCTCCCTGTCCCTTTCTCCGTGTATGTCGTGCTTTTGGATAGTAAAAACTGCACTGTCTTATTAATGTCACATAATCTACTGTGCAAGCTTTTTGGCTGGAGAGCGGGGTATGAATCTATTTTTTAATCGTTCATAATAAGATAGAAGAAATAACTTCTGGAAGCTTTTTGAGCTGCACATCAAAAAGAGATATGCTCATCTTGCATTCATCACTCAAAAGAATTCAAAGGAATAAAGCCCATTTGATTGTATAATCATGATCAATCATGTATAATCATGGTTGTATAATCATGATAATCTTGTATAATCAAAGGTTGCATGATTTTGGAAACGGGTGGCTTGGGTGTGTGTGGTTTTAAGGAGGGCATGGCTTTGATGAGTGGCTCTGACTATCATGACTATATGTTGTAAGCCGCCCCGAGGCTTCGGCGAATGGGGCGGCATAAAAATGTTTTAATAAATAAATAAATAAATAAATGAAGGACCCCCCCCCCCCCGCAATTCTCAATTTGCAACTACACCACTGCTCATAATCCTCCAGTTTTGGAAGACTGTGGGCAGCCACCTTGAGTGGTGCCCTAAGAGACAGCAATTCACTTGTTTAGGTCTTATATAGGCAATCAGGAGGATATATTTTTACAGAAACATGCACGGTAATAGTGAATGAAAATGGCTGAATGCCTATAATTTCAGAAGTGAAATGGGCCCACACCAAAAGGACACACTGGTTCCTACACATGTGAGCTACTCTTTCAACACAGCAGGAGCTGATGGGAGTTGGACAACATCTGGAGGGCCTTGTTCTGTGGTGTGGAGATCGGTCAAGTCTTTGTCCCATGATCTTGGTCCATCTTTCCAATACTCTAGTTCAATGTTTTCAATCAATACTGCTGTCTAGATATCTTGCTCATTCTGTATTCATGTTTTATCTTCTGCCATCTTGCTGGCTGAACCAGCCTTTATTTGTTCAAAACCGTCTCACATTATTTACTTTCTCTTTTCTTAGAAATCTATTCATCATAGCTCTTATAAATCATGACCAGATGTCTTCATGCTTTTCTATGGCAATAAATCTTGCCCTTTACTTATAGAAATTTTGCTTGACCCACTCATTAATCTATTTAGGTTATCCTACTCCAAGCTGTTTGCAGACAAAGTGTGGAGAGAAGATTTACATAGCACAACCAAACAAATGTTAAAACCATTTTAAAAAGCACCACAGGATTCCTACTTGTTTGCCTCGTTTTCCAGGTCTTCCAGTCGGACCTCTGTACCCCGATGCACCAGGTTCCCCCTTTGGACCCATTTCTCCCTTTATGAAGACGGAAAAAACAAAGAACAGGCATTTACTATAAATGTGGACTGTTGGTTATATAACTTGTAGGGCTTCTTTACATGAGGGATTTAACATGCTGCCTGCTTTACTGAGTCTATTTCCATTTGCATTGCAGGACCAAATGTGCATCCTTTACTCTGGGGTTTCCACGGGGATTTGTATTTCTCTGCTTTTCTATATATTCCATAAATCAAGCACAGTGTGCCACTGTGATAAAGCTGTAGCATAGCAGATTATACTAGCTTTCGTTCCAGCTTGAAATGCAAGAATTCATCATCCTCATTCTTCAAAAAAAGAGAGAGCCTCAGAAATGACTGGGGAAAAACAGGAGAGGCCCTGGAGGGCAGCATGAGTAAAAGATATTGCATTCTTCACAAGCACACAATAAATACCCCACATAGAGAAGTCAATATTTACAACACAAGAACTTACAATTCTCTACAAGCAAAAAAAAAAAAAAAATTGCTTCTGTACGTTTTTTATAAAATCAACTGAAAACTTCTTTCAAAAACTAGAAATTTCTCTGAAAGTTAAAAAACTGAAATGTTTTATCTTTTGGTTATACAACTCCCAAGAAATAAACAAGTGATTCATTGGAAGGATTAAGTCATGCTGCTAGCCTTCTGCCCATGTGCTGGCAGGGCTGCTGAGATATAAGGGAAGCAACAGGATTTTGAACTTGGATGTGGGGTTGTGGGGAATGAATTTCCTTCATGAGCAATAGCAGCAATGGCACCCAATGCCTCCATTCTCCAAGAACTATCTCACACAGAGCACCTCCAGATATGCTGGGCCATCACCCCATCACCCCAAACACTCCCATCACCCTGAAAAGAACCAGACTGGATAAGGCTGGTGTGGAAGAAAATTTCCCAGTCTTGTGCCCTCCAGATAATTTGAGCTACAGTTCTCAACATTCCCAACCCTTGGCCATGATGTCTGGAGCTGATGGGAGTTGAAATCCAAGATGTGGAGGACATCAGTTTGCATACGGCTGATACAGAAAACTGCAGTGGGACTTCTGAATAAATATGTATAAAACTGCATTGAAAGGGCTCCTGAAATATTACCACCATCATATGCTGATCAGGAGAACAACCTGAGAATTTCTTGCAGCTCATGTACATACCTTCTGCCCCAGCATTCCAGGGAAGCCGATATATCCCTACAAGAAAAAGGAAACATGTGAAATACCTTTTAATGAATCATTTTGGGGTTTCTATAGGCATGATACAAAAGATACTGAGTTTCTTTCTATTCCTCTTAAAGCAAGCAGCCCCAAAGTTTTTCCAATTTTTCTATTATGAGCCATATGAGACATTTGATAATTACAAGCTCACAGATAATTATGGCTATTTCTGGCAGCAAGGACAAAAGCTATAGTGGAATTACAGTCAAATAGTTTATGTTATTTTGTTAGTAATGAACATGGCTGAATGCAACTTTGCAGGAAAGGTATGAAGTCTGGATCAATGTTGTTATATATTTATGATCTCCATACTCATGGCCTCACTGTTTCTTGCTTCTCCCTCCCATTGTTTTCCCTGAAGTTGTCTCAGTCATCATTTCTCTTGAGAATATGGCCCGTGTGTTCATAGTGTTGCTGTTCCCCTAGTGGGATCCTGGGCTTTTAAGATGCCTGCAGAACCAGGAGGCATTCTTCAGATGCAACCTTCCTGCAATGCCAGCAATGTGATGGGGAATCAGAACCTCCATCTGCTTCTAAAAGCCGATGGGGAACCTCTGGCCTTCTAGGTGTTAGCCCTCCAGCCAGGGAGGCCAACTGACAGGTGTTGTAGTCTAACAGCTACACATGGGGGCCAATGCTTTAAAAAGGGGCAGGCTTCTGCAGGTTAAGACTTAGCAACCCTCCAGATCCAGACAGTACATTGTCAAAGTTCAGTGTGTAGAGTTTGTGCTTCCAGAATACAGACAAGACTCATAAACCGAGTGGAGGTAGAAGCAAGACTGATGGATTCTCATTTGACTGATAACTCCTAAGAATTAGCCCAAGTATCATTTGAAGAAAAACAATTACATGCTTTTCCTACTCTCCTGATACCAATGGAACAAGGTGAGTCAAAACCAGATCTGTAGATGACAAATCCAGTTTTTCCTGAGGAGTTTCCTGGAGTTTGATTTTGTTGTTTGGGCCCTCTAAACTATATATAGTTTATATTATCTTATGCCTCACCTAGAAAGTTACATTCATTCATTTGTTCAAAATAATTACATCTTGCCTTTCTGCTATCTCTTTAAGGAGGCTTATAAACATTAAGGCTGTAATCCTATGCGTGCTTAAACTGAAAAAAAAAATATCTTACAACTTTCAACATTCCTCAAGCAGCATCTTTACCACAGCAGGCTGGGAGCTGCAGATTTTTTTCTGTCTAAAGGTACATAGGTCTGTATGCAAAAAGAATGAATTAAACACTCAACCCATGTCCATTTTTAAATACTTAATCTCTCTCTGTGAAGGCTCAGTGGAGATAAACACATATTAAAAGCACTTCAAACAGTGTTGTATATCCTAAACAGGTTGAAATGGGTTTATGCCCCCTGCTCCTCATTGGATTTACATTTCCTATAACATCATGTTATTGTCAAGATATTTTCAATTTCATATTTTGAAAATGCCATGGTGCTAAAATTCAGATTGAAATGAGGAACCAAGTTTATTATCCTATTTTGAATATGTCACATTATGGGATTATATGTTCTGTTTGTACTTTATATCTAATATTGTTTCAACATCATCTTATTTTCATAATAGGACTTCATGATAGGCATTATTAAGAAAGGAAAGAAAAAATAAAGCTGCCAATGTCATACTAGCCTATGGTGCAGCCATGCTTGGCCACCACACCAAACCAAAAAAGAGGAAGTGGGGATGCAGGGAGAAAAATACTATCGTAGAGTTGGAAAAAGCAGAAAAATGCAACTGAAATGATCTAGAGTCTGGAACTGCTCCTCTGTGAGGAAAGATTACAACATCTGGGACTATCTGACTTAGGAAAAGGGTTGGGAAAGGGAAACATGATGGATTACGAATTTATGCAAATGGATAGGGAGACATTTTTGCCTCTCTCTTAATGGCAGGTCATCCAACAAACATGATTGGTAGGAGATTTGTACAGCACTCAGTTAAACAATGGAATTGGGTCCACGAGACATAGTATTAGCCATTGGCTTTCAAAGGGGATTGGACACAATCATGGAGGAGAAGGCTATCAATGGCTTCTAGTCCTGATGACTGCACAGCCGTTGACAGGATACATAGGGATGTGTTCACAGGCAGACTAATTCGATCAGGGGACATATGCCTGTGTACATATTGCTGGGATACCTGAATGGCAGGGTGCTATTGCACTCATGTACAACTGGCAGTTGGTTGGATGCTGTGTGAACAGAATGCTATAATGAATGGGCTCTTCTTATGTCCTTAAGAGGTGAACTTGAAAATATATTGAAAATAACATGATGTCAAAGTAATCTAGATGAGGAGCATCCCTGTGTTAAAAGATGCATGTCTTATGTATGGTTCCATGAGCTATAATACAGTATACATGCTTTCAATGTAACAACTGATAAAACTATGTTGAGAACTCTTAGGTGTTCTATAAAGGTAATTTTACCTTGTCACCTTTGCTGCCTTTGGCACCCTTCTCTCCTTGAGCTCCCTGTAGAAAGCCATATCAGAGGGGGCGGGGGGGAGAAAAGTATATAACATAAATTGTTGCTTTCCCAGTACTGAACTTAGAATGAAAGATATTAGGCAAGCTTCAGTGGTTTTGACGTGTTAGCACAAACATAATTGTACCAGCAGAAACCAACTCTGATGTACCACCAATAGTGGATGAAGGTTTCTGCAACTCATAAAAGATGGCCTATAGGTGCCCACTACAGGAAGCCCAAAGCAGGCCTAACACCAGCGGATCCAGTCAGGATGTGTGGGTACCAGGCACCACTCAAGTTTGGTTCTCACTTCCTCTATTCCATGCAAATCGCTTATGCTCTGCATACCAACTCTGTGGTCAAGTTGATGGAGAGCTTGGAGAAGAAGACACTCTCCTGGGCAGTGATGCAGTTAGCAGAGACCCAAATGTCGTCTGCCAGCTCTCAAAGTTTATTTTTTTATTATTTATTTATTAAAACATTTTTATGCCGCCCCATTCGCCAAAGCCTCGGGGCGGCTTACAACACTAAGTTCTGTGTTCCCTCTGCGCTGAGATGCAATCTGCACAACAGCTGGGGGAGGCATGGATTTTCCTAGTGATCATATATTGTTCCCTGTCCTAATACTAGGTATTTTGGAGCGGCTTGCTCTTGAAGACCACTGGGCCATTGAGACCAATTCACTTTATGAAAGGCCTCCTGGTAGATATGAAAACTGCTAGAGCTGGTTTGTTGATATCGATCACCATCATGCCTGCAGTTCTGGACGCTACATGGGAGTGCAGTTATGGAGACTGTCACAATGAGCTCCTGCACTTCAAAATTGGCTGTTACATCATTGCTCCTGAACCCTTTGAAACTCTGCCACACAAAGGTCAACTTGATCAAATCCCGACATATCTAATAGATTAGGCAATCAAGCAGAATCTTGGGGTCTGGGCCAAATCTTTGGGGTGCCCTACAACCTCATGCCTACTTTCTCCAACTATTAATTGTTTTGCAGTTTCCCAGCTTCAGTGTAGCTGAAGTGTGCCACATACTAAAAGCTCAACATTCCTGTACAAAAGCTTAGTTATTGGCAGTAAGAGTTTTAAGTTGCAATACAATGGATTTTTGACTGTGTGGACCCACCTGCCACTGAAATGTAGCCCCAGAAACTTCTCTGAAATGGAGTTTATCCTTGAGTAGAAAAAATTCCAACACCCCTGCATTAAGGCAACACATATTTTGTATGGGGAACATAGATTACATGTAAACTTTTCAGTAGCGTAGAGTTCTTGGCAACACTAACCTTTTCTCCTCTGCTTCCAGGGTAACCCTAGACAAAGAACAGCTATTTTAGCATTTGCTAATTGGTTAAAATTAAGTTACCACGTGGATTTTAAAAGTAGAATGGAAAAACTATAAATAATTAGTTTCACCAATACTTTCTTTTGTAGCCTTTGAAAAAAATATCACAAATAAAGACATACAAAGTGAGAGCAACACACTTCAGCATGGAAGCCACCATGAAATAAAAAGAAAAAAAATCAGGTATTGCAAGCATGCTAATCCTGTTTGAGATTGCTTTGGAAATTAAAATACAAGCAAAAAGCAGGTGTCACTACTAGTCTAATAATGTAACTGAAAGCAGTTTCTGTGGTAAATCACCATAAGCCATATTCTGTAGCTGCTTTCTCTCATCTACTGTAAGTCTCTTAGATAATGGTTTTCATTGAGCTTGCAGTTTGTCCTCTAATGCACTTCCCAGAATCATTTGTAATCTTTGAGAAACAGCAATTGCAGCCACATATGAGGAAAATGTTATCTGTTCCAAACAAATGCTAATGATGCTTGCACAGGATATTGGCATGCCAATTTCCATTTTAAGAGCAAAGACTAGCATGGACTACAAGCGCAGTAATGATTTCTGTTACCAGAGCATGGGGAAGCATGACCTAAAGTACAACCCTGCAAGGTGAAGGACTTCATTCAATCTACCAGTGAATCATCTTCCAAATATCTAGGTATTATCCAGGTATCATCTTGGAGCGTAAGCTTGCCATACTTTCAGCTCCATTTTGCTTCTCAAGAGTGTCTGGAAAAGCTACTTTTGGTTTTCATGTACCACCTGAAATAGCAGCAGCAGAGGGAAATCCATATGGAGAAGGTTTTGTCTGCAAGGACTGTCAGTTACAACAACAAAGAGCTTGAAAGCATTGGCTTATCTTGGATGGCTTCTCCCTTTATTTGATTAAAGCTTTGGACTCTTTCCTTCATCGCTTGCTGATCAGTGAAGTAACGTCAGTGGAATAGTACCCTTTTATCCACAGAGCATTGAGTGTTGGGCTTGCAGTGGAGATGTACCCCAACGTGGCTATTGCCACGGAGGAGAAAGAGAGATAGTGGCTGCTTCTGTTGTCTTTCTGCTCACCTTCTGTCAAGGCAACAGGAGGTTGGCGTTGAACAGCTGGGCTGCTGAATTTTGGACTGAGTGGGAGGGCAGAACTATTCTGCACGGTGGCGTTGTCACTGCTTAGTATTTTTACTTCTTGTGGCTATGTTACATCTGCTATCGGGATTCTTTTTGCCAATTATCTGCTTATTTGCTTAATGTGTTGTGACTGTTCAGTCTCTCCTGTGTTCTGATTCCTTCTAATGGTTTGCTGTTATCTGTATGTTTTAAAGGATCTCATTAATGTTGGCTATTCTGGTAGTTGTGGGCTGCCAACACCGTTTCAGAGGATTTTAGACAGAAGAAATTAACTTAGACCAATTTATCTCAGTGCTTATGTTAAAGTGAATTGCATTAATTGTTTTATTTGGAATGTTTGTTCTTTAGTGTAAAAAGCAGAGGGGATGGAAACTTGGAACATGGTGCATTTTAACACAGAAGCATGGTTTCAGTAGGTTTCAGTTGTTTTCATACCCCTAGGGAGAGGGGTTGGAATTATTATGACAAGACTCTGTCCACTGAAAGAGTCGCCATTGAATGTTGTGACTGCTCCATGTTTATGCTCCAGGTAAGCTGGAAGTTATGATGAATGGCTCTCTTCCCTTCTCTCAGGGCAGAACTGCCAACATCCATTTGGATTCTAAGATTGAATTTTCAGACCATGATAGCTTCTCTTGGTTTTAAGTCTCCCTTCCCCACCTGCCCATTCAGCTGGAGAGGTGCTGGACTTTGGTATTAACGTTTGAACAATACTCCCTTGTCTTGGGTTGTGTCACTAGATTTGAGTCAGTCTGACCATTTTCTAGAACCATTGTTCTTTTGAACTTGCTCTTCTGCCTTCGAAACAGATGGTGATTCAAAGAGAGAATTCAGAGATTACACCACTGGCCTTTCAAGGTCAAGTTTTACAAAATGTTGGTTGGGCCAAGGCTTTGGATGAGAATGAATTTAAGCCCACTCCAATCTCAACTCAGCAGAGACCCAAAGTCTGAGATCCCATGCCAGAAGTACTCAGGATTTAGCTGGGGCAAAATGATCAAGAGCTGAGCAAGGGGCAGAAAAAAACTCACCATTTTTGATAGTTAATACTTTTGACCCAATTGACATTCTGGAACATTACTGGTGCTATTCTTTTTTAATTAAATCACTTTATTTCTATTTTTGTTCTGGGACTATTTCAGTTCCCTCTTCTCTTACGGTGGGGCGGGTATCCTTTTTCTCTTACAGTGGTGGCTTTTCTTTTTCTCTCTCGAGTAAGTGTACATAACTTACTTTGGATTGAGACTGCAGTGCAGTGGGAGGGGAGCATTAAACCTTCCTCTGCACCCACTCACTGTTTGATTCCTGAATCCCTTCTCTCTCAAAGGAGAGCTTTTCTTATTTCAATCCCTGCATGTGGAAGGTGGGGAATTTGGGGAAGCAAAAATTGGCAGATAGGATGTTAAAAGTCCCCTCCCAGTGTGTAGTGTTCCAAGCCTGACTAAGAGGCTGCATGCCTTACTCTAGGGAAAGAGGGGAGAGAGAAAGATGCTTTTTGTAGATTTCTACTACGTAATTAACGTAACATGTAATTTGATTCTAAGGGAAACACCATGCATTACTGGTATGGGATGATGGGGAAATCCAAGTATGGTAGAGATTTTGGGTTCTGAGTCCCTGTGTTACATGGACTTGGCTTTTACGTGCATGTTCTCTTAGCTTGTTATAAGGTATGTAATAAAGAATGTAGAAAACAACTAGCATACCAGCAGAATGTTTTAGTTCTTTTCATTATATCCACAGAAAAAAGGAATGTCTGCCATTTGCAATGATTCTTCCTCCAGTCCCTGCCTAACCACCTCTGTTGTCCACACCAATCTACACAAAAGCACTTTCTAACCAAGGAAGCAGCCGTTAAGCAGTTGTTAGAAGCCAGAGAGGAATAACATAACAGCTGAGTAAACAAACCTTGGAGCCCACCGGTCCTCTTGAACCTGGCAATCCCATCAAACCTAAATCTCCCTTTTCACCCTAAAGGAGTCAATAAAGAGAATTATTCATTGTGGCTGTGGCAGGGCGTTGGTAACTGGAATGATGGCTCTGGGTCTGGATCAAAGAGGTGAAACATACAGCATTTCTATCACTGCAATGATATAATGGAAGCTAAAGACACAGGCAATTAAATTCCACTTAAGCTGTGCAGCCATCTGAGATGTGCCATCTCCTAACTTCCTCTTCTTCCAAGCAGTGGATGGCCATGGACCAAGCTTCAGCGTAGTCCTACAGGACAGAAGCTCAGATGCTAAGTCCTCCTGGGGAGAGCTCAGTGCTGCCGAATCAGCAACAGAGGCTTCCCTGCTCCCATTCTTTGTAAAGGACAAAAGTCAGACAGACCTCTGAACCCATCCAACTCTGCAGGTGAGGAAGGGAGCCAAGAGGCATGTAGATCCAGCAGAACCACAGCCTCTCCCCTTGCAGCCCACCCACTGGCATGCCCCACTGCTCTCCTCTCTGACTTCTTCTGGAGGTTGGTACTGACACATCATTGAGCTTTCCATGGTGACGGCCATTGCTGTGGAATGGGAAGGAGAGAGGCCAGAGTTTTGTCAGAGCTCTCCCTCTGAGGTTTCCAGCCCCAGAGGAGAAAGTATGTAACATCTTGAAGTTATCTATGGCCATAGCATTGCTCTCTTAATCAGCCCATTCTATGTTGCTGGACTAGAAAAAAATCATTTTTGCTGCCTCTGCCCTAAAGGAGTGAATCTTCAGATATATTTCTTTCCTCAAGGAAGGAACACATTCAGTTTTAGCATTTCTCTTGTCCCATGGAGCAGAATGGAGCAATAAAAACAGCCTGTATTTAAAAAGGAAAGCAGGAAGAAAGGGGGAAGAAAAAGAAAGAGAGAGAATGGGGGGGGGGGGGGGAGACTACAGACACAACTGGCACCTAATTTGGACCCACTGTCTTGAGGTCCTGTTGTAGAGCTGTATGTCCCCCTCTTTGGAGGGTATCCCAGAGTGGCCAGCACCTCTTGAATTCTGACGTCCCTGACAGCTGTAATGCTGCCTCTTGAGCTGGGCCATCTCTGTTACACCAAGAACAGTTAGCAACTCCTGGCATCCATTGGACTGTCAGTTTCAGCTGCTCATCTGGCCAGTTTGACTTACGTCTTAATTTCATCTGATATACTGAGAGTCACTCAGAAGTGTGGCCTGGAAGCCATTTGTGTTTGCAAATGCCTTTGCAGAAATCCTTTGCTGTGTCCTGATAAACATCTAGCAAATGGGGAAATTGCTAAATCAGCAGGACTGCAGAGAGACAATAATTCACTTTACTGTGCTCTCTGAGGGGAGAAAAGGGTACTCTTCAAGTCCTCCTGCTGGCTTGTAACCCAGCATGTCTTGCCAATCCTTGGAAGCAGAGCAGAAATCCTGCTTGCTACAGGGGCGTCTTCACTCACACGGTCGTCCCGTTACAGAAGCCATGACAGCATCCAGTTGTGGATCTGGCAACCCTGTCCGGGCACCAGGGCTCAGCCAACCTGTGTTGCTCTACTGAAAGCCAAGCCTCCTTCCTCACAATGTTGGGGTCTGGAACTCGTATGCCCCCCGCAACTTTACAAAGCCTAGGAACTCATAACCAGCAAGCTTGTTCTACAGCAAGCTGGTTAGCTTTGAGAAGATCTAGTTGAATTAACAGGACAAATCTTGCCACAAAAAAGAACACTCGCTACCTTGATCTTACCTTAGGGCCCATTGGACCAGGCCATCCAAGAGGCCCCGGCATTCCACGGATACCTGGAGGACCTGGACTACCCTTCAAAAGAAAAAAAAAGAGTGGGGTGGGGAGGAATAGAAAAGAGAAATCAGGAATAAGGACTCTGGGTTTCACATAGTCTTGTCTTTCAAATGGAGAACAGTCATGTCTGGATATAACGAAGTGTCTTCAGTGGTCCTCTCAGAAGTTTTTTGTCATCTTGGATCATCAGAGCTGACGTAACACTACCTCCCTCAGTTGTCACCTGACCGTGGCCATTCCGCCAGGTGGCAACAGCGGGACAGATGGGAACCTTAGCCACTCCATCAGATGTGCTGAGAAAGCAGCTCCATTCGGCTCCATTCCTGGATCATTCCTTTTCCTCCTCATTGTTCTAAGATCTACCGTGCAATTTTAAGGACTGGCGTCTGAGTTTGGGTGTTTTCCTTTTCCCTCTTCATTGTTTTTTTCCCCTTTTGTAACATGTCTTTCAGATTGTAAACCTGAAGGCAAAAGCCTTTTTAGTGTAAGCCTTCAGGAAACCTTCAGGATCTTTTGGGAGTTGTGAGTTCTACTGTTGACTATTGCTTGTTATACAGCTTATTTTAATGTTTTTATTTATGGCCTTAGGGAAAAATAGTGATATATATTATTTTTAAATAAATATAAATAAATGTATGACTCAACATCAAATCTTCAGCTAGATCAGATGATGGCTGCATATGCGCCTTTTCCTGTATCATCCTGTGCATAACTTGTGAGATTCTGGGGGGGCCCATTTGGATATGCCACCACCAAACTCAATCTTGATGGCGCAAACTCATAACAAGGCCTTTTTGGTGGTGGCACCCCAGCTCTGGAAAACCCTCTCCTAGAAGTTAGACTGATGTTTAAGATTGGTTAATTGCCTTTTGATTAAACAGTGCATTTTACTGTGATTTATAAAGTTTTTATTGCATTTGATAATCATACTATTGTTTATTATCCTGGGAACATTTTACAATGCATGTTGGGATATAAAAATCTTAATAAACACTATATGGGGGTTGTGTTCTATATACACACTGAGGCCACAGTTGCTCACCACTTTCCAACATGTCTACATTGACACACCACAATGAAAAACCCTCATGGAAATGTAACACATTTCATTTCATCATTCAAAATATTTCTGTCCCAACTTTCTACTACATTTGCAATAAAATGCAGATTAATCAAAGCATGGACAACAACAAAAATAAAGCATTGTAAAAACAGAGGCAGATTGAAGCAAATAAAAACAATTTTAAAAACACAGAGGTAAGGCCCAATCAGATCCTCAACCTAGGAAGCCAAGTGTCTTCTGGAACAGAAAAGTCTTGGTGAGGTGGTCAAGCAAAGGTAGAGGGGGCCAAAGAGACCTCCTGGGAGGAAGTTACACAAAGATGGCATGGCTGTGTTACTGCAAAGGCTCCCACTAGCCAGATTTGACATCTACATGTGATTTGCACATTAATGCTTACTCTAAAATTTTGTAACGTGAATGGACATGCTTTAGCGGGTTTTGCACAGTTTGTTTCATACCTTTCTTCCTGGTCTGCCAATCTCACCCTGTCAGAGAAAAGACTATATTAGTATAAACAAACCAGCTGGGCTGTTCTGAAAAGGAAATGGTGCTATTTCTTTGTAATCCTTTAATGATTATTTGTTCTTACGAATAGGTCAAACATGCCAATTGAGAACAAGGCAGAAAACAGGTTCAAGTGAGCTGGTATGTAGTAGTCTTTTCTAATGGGTCAAGGCGGTTGGGAGAAATGCAAAGATCACCAGAAACACAGTCATGGGAAACTGCTAGTTGAGGTTTTGTCTCCACGTATGTTGGCCTTGTTTGCACGATCACTATGAGTTAAACAAGTCATGGTAGTTTGCTTCAGCTAAAGTGTATGCCAGATTTTCTTTGCCTACTAACCCAACCAGGTACAACTTGTTGTGTCATCCAAAGCTGGACTGCTTGGCTTGTTAGAAGGGGAAACAACAATCAAATAACCAAAAATATAGGTTAGGTGAGGGTTGTTTTTTCCCTCCAGCAAGCCATGCTGCCCAGATTTGGGTGAAATGACAAGCCAAGTGCAGAGAGATGATGTTTAACCAACAGTAATTATACAAACCAGCCCTTTTGATGTATAATAAAGTTTAATAATGGACTGGCCTTCTTCACAATTCAATTTGAGGTGTACCACCACTTCATGGTGCCTGGTAGTTTCCAGGGTTTGCTGGTACATGCATATTGTGACAGTCATCACTGCTTATAAGTAATATGTATTTCTGAAATGATCTATGTAATCCCAACTTACTACACAAATATAGTCATATTTCTCACACACACTCACAAAAAACAAAAATACCTCTCTGACACTTACTTTCCCCCCTTTTGGTCCCTTCATACCAGGAATACCTCGTGGGCCCTAGAAGGAATAGAAGAAAAAGAAAGAAAGAAAGAAAGAAAGAAAGAAAGAAAGAAAGAAAGAAAGAAGGAAAGATTTAATATAATGCAAACACACTGGTTTATCAGCTTGCCCCAATATCTTTCCTTATCACCTTTGACTAATCAGAGGATTTTATTTTGTTCACTTCACTCAAAGAACTGATGCCACATTTCACCCATTTCAACCTATCTCAAACTTAGACTAAAGATCTCACACTTCATGTGTGTTCATATCTACCTCTATTCCCCTGCCTTGATTTCATTTTCCATTATAAAAACAGATGAGGCCCACTAAATCATTAGGAAGGAGGTTAATTATGGAGAAACTGAAAGATGGACAAGGTGAAAAACACGGGAGAGGCAGAACCAGATTTTAACCTGTACTTGAAAAAAAAAGTTCAATTTTAGGAAAGCAGGTGAAAGTCTGGAAAAAGTAGCAACAGAGTAACAGGTGATTCCACTGTTGCAAGGTCTGAAGAGGCATAGTCCCTCAAAATGTGGGGTTTATTCCACATTTAGTATAGTTTCCTTTAGCTCTTTGAAATGCATAATTTTTGTTTCTCATGTTATTGATTATTGCTGTGGTTTTTAATCTCCTGGTCTTTACTTTGACACAACCTGTTCTGTTTCATACTTATTTTGTTTACTGTCTTGGTGATTCCTTGTTTTTCTTGAAATGTGTGAATTTACATTGGATTTGATCTTGTCCATCTCTCACACGACTGTTGTTACTGGGCAACCAGCATCTGAACTAGAAGATAAAATAATGATTTGTCTTAATGTGTAAATTAACCCCAATTTAATGGATAAAAGCAAATTACTAAGGAGTCCTTTCTGACAAAAGTATTTTATGATGAGCGAGTCCTGATCTACGGCATGTGTGGGGTAGGGTGGGAAATGGTCTCCTGATAAAAGCACACATCTCCGGAAGGGGAGGGCGGCAGCTTCCTAGATACCCTCTTATGTTATTCTGGAAGGATCCAGACAGAGGCAATGAATGAAAGACATCTAATCACCATTGCAGTGATCTCCACTGCAAGTCCCAGTCACCTCAGGGGCTGCTTTCTGCCATGTTCTCTCGGTCACTCACTTTGAAGGAGCTGCTCATTGTCATATGGATTCTCCAGCTCCACCTTGATTTGTGTTAGAACTGTAGACTGAGTTCTGTGATTTGGGCCACTGGAGGAGCTCTGGGGCAAGCTCTAAGGTGGTAGCTAGTGAAGATGCCTAACTAGCCATTTGTGGTGTCAGTATGGAGCCCAAGAGGCAATGAGCCATGTGACTGGCTAGCTTTAGTGGTTTGTTGCTCGGGCAGAGAAGGAGAACTGAATGTAGGGGTTAGGGGGAGAGTGGACTCACCAGGAAATGCTGCAGCACTGATAAAGCAGGTCACTTTCTCAGTGAAGGGAAAAAAGATCCATCCCCATCCAAAGAACTAGTGAGCTGGTCAGATGAAGTCTGACTCATGACTTGGTGACTGACTGATCAGACTTTGCTTGAACAACATCGAGGGGGTGGATGGGAGAGTCTAGAAAAAGCCTCCCACAGAGTGTGGCACTTAGTGTTGCCACTTGACGGAGTGTGTGGGGAGCAGTGGAGGTTCCCCACAGCCTGAGAAAGGCCCTCAGGTGGCCTTGTTGGTGGCGCTTGGGGCCAGCCTGGCTCCTGCTTGAAAAGCAGTGAAAATCAATGCACTAATGTGTCATTCATTTCTTTATCAGCAGTAATCCAGAGGTCACAACACCACATACTTATGAAGGATATTCAAATGAGGTATCGTATGCTACAGGGAAATAAATAGAGCAACTGTTCTTCTGCTCAGTCTTGCCACAATTTGACTGAGCATCCAGAATTACAGGCTACACAGAAGACGTTTGTTCACAAGGCTAAATTGCAAGGCTGTGACATGAAAGCCCTGTGCCCTTTGGTGTGGAGGGTTGAAATTCAGTATAAAGACTTTGCAACTGCAAAGTGCAGCTCCAAGAAGGAGTTTACAGCTATGGCATGGATCCCTCAGGAGTGTCTCACAAGAAGGCAAGAGATTTCCTCTTCCTTATCATCCTGTTTCCTCCCCTCTGTTTCGGATGGTATGCCATCCTCTTCATCTTTTACATGAATCATAGACCCTAACTAGAAGCTGAATCCCTTGTGGCCAGATCTACAAAGCAAAATGAATGAGTAAGCCCTCATTCAAACTGTACATGCAATATTTAGTCCATGAACACAACAGTGCATAAAATTATGTATCATTAGCATTTCCATATGTATAACGTGATTCTATCTTACTGACATCCTGCTCAGAGCTTTAGAACAATGAAGGTTTCCTAAAATATTTTCCAGTTATTTATATTTCAAAATTCTGAGCTGTGCTTCATGTCCATGATATAATCAGCTATTTTTTTTTAATAACAGAGGGTGGGGTGGGTTTTATATTCTTTTTGTTTACGGATTCAGTGTCCATCACAAAATCAGCAGGTTTATCAAGAGGATATAGATGACAAGAATCAAGAAGTGCCATTTTTCCTTTGACTTCCACAAGGCTTCCAAACCCTAGGCCCTGTTCTCTGGATCATATTGAGTCAAAGCTTTATAAAATTCCATTTTCATTTTATTATCTATGGTGACCATCCATAACCTGCAAGGCAAGAAAGTTAGTCTCCCAGCAACCATACTTTTTGTCACCATGTTATTTCTGCCCTCTCCCACTCTATTAAAAATGCAGAGATCAAAACACCCATTCAAACAACCCCCTACTTTCATTCCAAAAGGAAGTACTAACCTGGGGGCCTGGAGGCCCTGGAGGACACACAGTTTCTACACATGGAGACTGTATTATCTGAAGATCTTGGCATAAGTTTTTCAGATCCATTGATAGCAAAATCTAAAAAGTTTTTAAAGATGAGAAATTACTAAATGATGTAGCCAAAGGCTACGGCTTTGACCAGGCGCAGTGTGTGTTGTCAAGTGATCCTTATCCGCTCTCAAAGATCATTTGGGGATTGATTCAGCTGAACTTCCCAGCTTCCACACAGCAATATAGGATCAGGATTAATATCATTAATATGGAGGACAAGGCTATCAGTGGCTACTAGCAATGATGGCCATATATTACCCCTGGGAAACTTGAGTGGGAGAGTATGATTGCTCTCACATCCTGTCTGTGGGGTTCCCGCAGGGCCACTCTGCCTATCTGGTCTGGAACGCTGGATAAGACAGGCCTTTAGTCTGAGCCAGCAAAGTCCTTTGTATGTTCTTACTATAGCACATATGCCCCAGCTGGAATGGGATGTAAGTCTATTTTGCTCATAGCAGATGCTTCCCAAAATAGCCTCTTCTAATAATGCAGCCTGCATGACAGTGTAATACAGACTGTGTGAATTCCGCTGTTAATGATATTCAATGGATATGCATGCCCTGCAAGAAGCCAAGTTCTGCTCCTTGCACAGTCAGTGGGAAAAGAGTTATGTCAGACAGCAGATTCATGCAGAATCAAATTAGTTCATCTATCAAACTGCAATTACAGAACATATAGCCACAGAAAGGAAGAGAGGCTGAGATGATCCTTCATCAATTATTGCTTGCTGAGCCAGCAGTGTCTGGCCATCAAGACAGTATAAAAACAGAGAGACAGAATAATGGAAAACATTGTCCTTTCCCCTTTTAAAAGAAGTAAAAAAATGTTTCACATGTTGGGAATTGCAGCTTAATAGTACTTAATAGAAATTCTGTACATCTCATCATAATGTGGGAACACTGTGGGCAGGTGGCCTGTTCAGTCTGTTGCCCAGGTGCTAACTTGTGATGGACAACTTCAAGGACCCAGCTCTCCCTTCCTATGGTTCTTTATCTTAGCCCAGAATTGGACAGGCCAGCCTTTCAAACAAAATATGGTTATTGGACAGCCCTTCAAATAAAGAAGACACATGATGACTTCCTCAGCATAGATATGCCTATTGTATATCCGGATGCACCTCTTAATCCACACCACACTTCCAAAGAAACAATAATTAATATTACTTAAGACATCAAAAGAAAACATCAAAAGCAGTCTGTTCTCTCTCTCTATTACAAAGGCTAAGATTGCACATATAGGCTAGCTAATTTACATTAAAATATTTCACATTATGTACCCTTGGCACAATGTTCTTTGATGCTGGCTAGCTCATATTTCTCAGTTGCTTCACGCAAAATTTATTATGGAAATCCATTGAGCAGAATTATTTAATTTACAAGAGTTCTTTCCTACTTTATTTTCTGAATTCTGATGTGATGGACATGATGAAGGATGGACTGGCATGAGATCTGTGGTTTTGATTATTGTTTATTGTTACACTCATGGCCAAACTACACATTCTGCTAATCTGATTGGTGCAGCTGCACCTGCTATTTTTCTTTACTTTTGTGTTAGCATGTGGGACCATGGTGCTTCTGGAGAGGAGTAGTTAAGCTTCCCCACCCCAAGGTACCCATTTCTTTCCTGAAACTTTATCCCACCCCATTGAAGGCAGTTTTAAACAGAAGGGAAAAAAGTATTCAGTGAAGAACACAGATCCAAAGAAAAGATGCATTCCATGTAAATGTGCCAAAAGGTGCTGGCACATGTATCTCCAGTTATTGGAATATCAAGGTGACCCCCTTTCTTGACAAAATGTTCCGTGATGCTGTCCAGCTCCTAATACAGTTCTTACAGAACTCTTACAGTAATACATTCCTTGGAGTACTTCCCATAGTCTTATGTGATGTTGAATAGCTCTCAACAAAGACCTGGCCCCTTTAATTTAACCCCTTTTAAAGAGTGAGGGTTCACCCTTCAAGGACAGAGTTAAAAGGAAAAAAGTCTCTATTCTTTTTGTTAAATCCCAACAAAGTTCTAACCTTTCAGAGGGAAAAAAGGAGAAATCTCCTGATGGATCATGGTCTTAATCTGGATTGGAACTGCACATGCTTACGTGTACCTTAAGAAAAATAGCTGCATCTGCCATACTGACATGATAGCAGACCATGTTATTTGATCCCGAGAAGCCTCTACAGGGAATAGGTAAAATAACACCTTGAAAAAGTTTGGGACCAAAATTCTAACCAGTAGAAATGCAAGCTGGACTAGCCAGAGTAAAGCTTCTGGATGCTATATAAAGACATGTATGTTAGGTTAAACTTTTTTGGATAGTTTGTTGAAATTATAGGGTAGTAAGAATTCCAAAGGAGAAAGGAACTTAAAAATCACAATAAGCTTTTACAAATACACTATAGGTCAGGGGTCCTCAAACTTTTTCAACAGGGGGCCAGTTGAAAGGTGCTGGCAGTGAGTGAGGGACAGCAAGGCAGTGCTGGCAGGGGGGCACGGGCCAGTGAGGGGGTGGGGAGCATGCACGCACGTGCAGAGAGGGCAGGGGGCACGCCGGCGAGGTGGGGTTGAGCTCACACAGCGAGGGAGCAGCGGGCGCACGTGGAGATCATTTTCTCTGAGCAAGTCCAAAACGATCTCCACATGGGCAAGCTGCCGCTGGGTACGTGCATGGCGAGGTGGCGGCTTGCTCACACAGAGATTGTTTTCTCCTAGTGAGTTCAAAATTATCTCCGCGCGAGCAAGATGTTGCCTTGCTGTGCATGCACGTGCAGTGAATCCAAAACCTCTGAGGGGGGCCGGCTAAATGGCCATAGCAGGCCGGATCTGGCCCATGGGCCGTAGTTTGAGGACCCATGCTATAGGTAATGTAAGAATTCAGTTCCATGCATCGTGTTTATTGACCCCCTTCTTCCCTGAATGGAATAACTTTACCTTCTCCTAAACAAGAGAGACTTGATGCCACTAAACACATATCAGATAGAGCAATGTCTGGTCAAGCTATCAAAATAGTACAAGATCTGTCCCTGTGACTGCTAATTTTTTAAAATGTACTTTTGTTAATGTGAAGGAAACTGTTGGCTGCCATCCTTCTGACCTCTCTTAAAAGTGATACTCTGTTAAAGAGAGAGAGAGAGAGAGAGAGAGAGAGAGAGAGAGAGAGAGAGAGAGAGAGAGAGAGAGAGAGAAGGTGCTGGCTGGTAGATAAGGGGTGAGGAGTTGCAGTTCGACAATATCTGAAGGAAAAGGTTGAAGACGCTGTCTCAGAACAAAATCTTTCCGTGTTTAGAAAGAAAAAGTCTGGCAACTCCCAGCATTCCCTCTAAACAGAAACAGGATAGCACTCTTAGATGGTTACCTGTTAAGTCTTTATGTTGATGCATTATCAATACAATTATCAAACCATTTCATTGTTCTAAAATAAAAATACATATTTTAAAATGGTTTACTAAATTCCTATGGAGTCCTATCTCATGTCTATTCAGAAATAATACTCAGTAACTTCAGTGGGGCTTACACCAAAGGAAAAGTATAGAATCGCAGCCTTAATTTATGAGGATGGAACACACACACACACACCCCTGCCCCCTCCTAATAAGTTACTGCTCTTGTCACCAGGCTTTATGTCTCTTTATTGTGGCATGAAGGTTTCTTAGAATTGCTAAGGAAGGCCAAGCCATCATCTTTACCAGAAACAAAAAGCTGGAAATGACACTTACGGAATTCCATTCCTGTCTGAATGGTGATGGGGGAAATAGCAGTGGTGGTGGTGGTGGAGGAGGAGGAGGAAGGGCAAGGAGACAGCATGCTCGGTTATTATTAATAATCCGTTTCTTCTGGTCCAGGCAAGGCAGGGCTGTTGAAAAGGAACAGGTATGTATTCATTATGGGCTCAGAATCTTAATTAATGTTCTTCGAAAGACATGCAAAGAAACATTGGGCATGATTGCAGAAGTACACACATCACATATACAGAACCAGGCCTGGTGTGATCAAGGCCTACCCTACCATTAGTAAAAGTGGCATGGCTGCCTCAAGCAGCTAAATTTGGGGTGATATGAAAGGGCTGGAAGTTGTTGACTGCTTCATTTATTCTTGAGGAATTTCTACTGCCTATGAAAAGGATTTTGGCCTCATGTGCCAAAATAACTTGGCTTACCTTGGGTAGTATGTACCTTAACTTATGAGGAGGAAGAGGAGACAGAAAAATAATCATTTGCTCAGAAAGCTAATGTTTTGGGCCAGCCCTGCCCATTCTGCCAAGTAAGAAATAAAAGAAACCCTAAAATAGAATGAACGTTTTAAAATGGCTTAAAATAAATTCCTCTGCCACCCCTTTACGGTGTCACATAAGTTCACTCTGCTGCATGGCATGACTAGTCCTACTTCATGGAGAAGGGGTGGCAATGGAAGAATGCTTTGCTCCAATTCAACGAAGAAAACCATAGAAAATAAAGCAATACACATTTAAAAGAATACATGCAATACATGTTGATAACGTTTCTTGAAGGCTGAAAGGGATGGAATCGCCACAGATCAAATTTAAGCTTAGCCACAAAAATAGCTCTCAGTTCTCTCATTTCAGTCCAATCGACCCAGTTCACTTGATGAAAGTTCCCATGATTTGCTAAGCATGGATCATTTGGGAGTGTGCCAGAACAAACAAGTGTGCTTCCTACCTGCCCACCCACTTTCCCTTTAAATTAACAACATGTGCATGTTTTATGATGTGCAAACCCACATCATAACTCTGGGTGGTTTAAGGGGTAAGCAACCTAGAGTTAATCATGGTTTATTATTAACTCTGAGTTGCTTAACTCCTCCAAACCTGAAAGTTTCTTGGTCCCCAAGTGACAAAAGGTCTCAGGAATGGGACAATTCTGTGTTTTAACTTAAAGTGAAAATATTGTGGAAGAGGTTGGAAAGTAGGTAGCATGGCCGTTTGCATGCCTTCTCACTAACTCCTGGATTAATCTACTCAAGAAGGGACCTTCAGTAAGAAAAGGGGTTTCATCTCTAGAAGGTGATTTCTTAGGGATCATCCCACCATGATTTTTAGGGATCACCCCACCACTCCCACACATCACATTCACTCCAGGGTCTCTTGAACTTCTGTGTAGCATTTTCAGGGGGCTGAAGGAGGTGCTGTGGGAGAGAACAGTGATAGACAAATTTACCCCACATAATTCATTATTTACTCATGAAGACTGTCCTCCCTTAACTCAAAATCTCATTCCACAAGCACGATACTGAGGAGCATCTTGGAATTACATACTGCCCCATGGCATTGTTCATTGCCATGTTATGCCCTGTTTCTGACTGACCTGCCTGTGTGGTGATGTCACCTAGCACCACTGTGAAGATGGACCCTGCAGACTGCTCCTCACTGCAGAAGCAGTTAAGAAGACTGTGTCAGGTAAGATTGGGGGGTGGGATCTATTTGGTAGAAGGACTGAGAATTTGGGGAAGGGACTCTGTACACTACTTTGCTGCATATGCTGCAAGGTACACAATCTATTCCCAGCTTTAAAGTGAATTCATCATACCATCAATCCACACTCACTACAAAGGTGAACGTTCTGAACGTTCTGAATGGATGAGTGCCAACCAATGGAGCAAATCATTACATAATTTGGCCGCATCATAGGAAAGAGGGAGTGGGGAAGTTCTCTTCCACCAGGACAGTTGATCCAACCCATTATTCATCAATGGTAGTTACATAACACACAACAGATGAAGTGGCAGCATGTTAATATTTTAAGCAGCATGCAATGCCAGAAGAGATTGCAAATTACTTGGGAAAGACCCATTCTTTATTCACTGGCCTATCTCCTTAGTAAAGGTGGTGCTTTCTCAGCTAAAAGCATTTCCCTTGTCTTACAGAATTTAATACACACCCCAAAGACCTTTTGCAAAAGGCAAAGTATGTACCAAATCAACTGGCTTAGTGCCACATCCTTTTTCCTGTGGTGGTCGACCAAATGCTTCCTGAAAGTCCACAAACAGGAAGTGAGTGCAGTATGTTGTTTCTGTTTGTGCTTCCCAAAAAGTGGCATTCAGGGGCATGCTACCTCTGACATTGGAAGGAATAAGTAGTCCTCATGGCTGCTAGCTATTGAAATTTTTCCCCTTCATAAATATGTTTAATCTTCTTTTCAAGCTGTCCAAGTTGGTGGCCATCGCTACACTGTGAGAACAAATTCAGTAGAGTGACTATGCCACATCTTTCCATCTGCCTGTATCTTCCACCATTTAGCTTCCCTGAGTAAGTCCATATTCTAGTACTTTGAGAGAAGGAGAAAAATGTCTCCCTCTCCATTTTCTCCACAACACGCTCAATTTTATACACCTCTGTTATGGATGGCCAGAGGACTGGATTCTTATTTTACAGAAGATGACTCTCAATTTGAAGAACTGTCACAGGGCCCTCCCTATTTGAAGGTATCTGCTTTTTGATAGGAAGTCCAGTCCAAGCCTGGGTTAAAGTCAAAGAATAAGGAGGGTGGTCAGGGACTTTGAAGTCAGCCATCAACATGTGATCCTTGAGCAGGACTCTATAGCCTGGTTCCCTTATAATAAGAAACCACCACAAGTTTCCTCAGGGAATGTCTTCTTGTGGTGGCTGTGGCCATTTTGAATATTTGAGGTACAGCAGGACACACCATAGTTTTTCGTTAGATGTGAACCTGGCAGGAGTGGTCTCTTGGGGTGGTTGAAAGTCACCTTCAGCCCTAAAACATCCCTTGGATTCTGCGTGGCTTCTCAGCTACCCCAATAACTTATGCTTGCTAGGTTTTCATGCAATGGAAAGCTTACATTCACATCTGCTGCACCCCAAATATTCAAAATGGCCACCATGATGAAAAACCCCATAGGGAAATGAACCCATGGCAAATTCTCATTACATCTGAAATAAATTTGAGTAAGTACACAGATTATGTTTTTGTTTTTTCCCACTATTGTGAGAGGTATGTTTTTCTTAATTATAGTACTTATTTCTATTTTTGCATATAAATAAACCATAGACAAATTAGTATCCTCTTTCCCCCTCTTTACTGAGTCATTTTTTTTCTTTTTTGAAGGAGCATAAATGGCCACCCTAACCATGTCCCAGCTTGCTCGCCTTTTTTTCTAAGTGAAAGCAACCCAAACAACTGCAACCTTTTCTCATAGGAGAGCTTCCACACAGCCTTGAACATCCTGCCCCCCCGCCGCACCCTGCCCCATTTTGAGAAATTAAGCTTGGATACGAACACTTCTCAACTGAGTAACAAGTTGCTCCTCCCTTTTCTGAATCACACCTTGTGTGGCACATTCAGTGAAAGGTCATATGAAATCCACCAGGCAGAAAAACCCAAGCAACCTTTGATCCAGCATGGGTGATTCTCAGCGGTCAAAGAAGAATGTCGTCAAGCGTCCAACTTAAAATGCACTGGAGTCACAAGGCAAACAAATAGCTGCTATTAAAAGGCCAATGTATAATATAATTGCAATTCTTTTCCAGGAACATATTCACGTATTTAGCATCATCAGTGTTTCCCAGCTTCCCTACTGCTCAGTATCAACCACAGGATTTCCTTAACTAGATATCTTTCCTTTGGATGTGGCCCAGTTCTCTGCCTGACTATGCAGCACTGGTCCTTTTGCTGGAGAAAACTAACATCACATGGAGGATTACACTCTGTGGCTGAAGAGCTTTATCATAGCTTTCACAATACTGTAGTCTTTTTTATATAAAGAATATGTTATTAATTTTCCGAATATATCAAGTTGGAGTCAAGCTGCTGACAGAAGGAGGCTCATTTAATATTCTCCCCCTTTTACTTTACAGATATATGTATAGGTGGAATCCAAAGGCTGCCTGGAGATTTTCTTTGTGGTTCTTCCTAATGGGAAAAGATTTTTAGGATACAACCCTAATCATGCTTAGTCAGAAAAGAATCCTACCAGTCATGCAAGGAGTTGTAGGCCTTTTTAAAGTCTAAAGATGCACCAGATTGCATCCTCGGGGCACAATCCAAGGAGGAAGCCCATAACCTTCCAAACTTGGAAGTTTATGGGCATCCTGTGCAAAGCAGGAGAAATGCAGAGGTAAGCGATGCCTCTGTGCTGCTTCCACCCCGCAAGGCAGATAAATAGCTAATTTTGACTATCTAACTGTGATACTTCAGCAGGGAGGGAAGTCCAGATACTTTGTATTTTGGTGATGCCAGTCTTTTCCTTTCCCTGCTTCCTAAATCCCTTCTCCAAGTTCGGTCTTATGACTTTGGAAAAGCAGCCAGGTAGTTCTTTCTGCACTGCTTGTGAGAGGGGAAAGGATCCAAGTGTGGATCCCCAGATGCAAGATCAGAACTCTTTTCAAAAAAACTCCTATGGCCCTCTTGTCACTTGCCGTAGGATTGCTCTGCCTGTCTCTTTTCCATAATCCAAGAAAAAGTTTTGATTTGACAGATGCACTGCCTATGTCCTTTATTTGTATATTAAATATTGTATAAAACTCACACATTTTGACCTTTCCTTGAGCTACTTTAAAGCACCCTCATGACAGCTCTTCCTGCTTCAGTTCTCCCCTGCAGAGGAAGGCAGGACGTGCTCCAATGGAGCAAAGCTCAAGGAACCAAGGTTCCATTTAGATGCCAGGAAGCATTTTCTGACAGTTAGGACCCCGGGGGTGTGGAATGGGCTTCCACGAGAGGTCATTGAGGCCCCATTGGTGAGAGTGTTCAAAGATAGGCTGGACATGCACATGGTGGGCATGTCGTGAGCGGAGCCGGCTGGAGCCGGGGGTCAGACTAGATGGCCCAGGAGGCCCCTTCTGACTCGCTCTGTTTCTATCTCCTGCAGCAGTCATTCCAG